TTGGAACCCCTTTTCAATCAGAGTTGTTAGATATACCCAAATGTTTCACTAAACAATGTTATACCTAGATCTGACCCCATTAATTACAACATTTTAGTACTCATACATAATACTACAGACTAAAAAGCCTTAGGATTTCTAATAAAAGATAGAATAAAAATTATTTTTATATTATTATATAATTATTATTATACACTTGCTTAAACTTTTTAACGTTTTAAAAAAAATAATATATACATTTCTTTTTTTTTAAACAGAAAAATGATTCTAAATAAGTCTAAAAACTTAGCTTCTTTGGGTTAGAATAATAATAAAAATGTATTAATAGTTATAGGTATAAGACTTAGAAAATACTTTATATTTGTTGAGTTTTATTAACTACATAATATATTAATTTATGTTAATAGATTCAATAAAAAATATTTTGGATATTACCTGGGTTCTTTTTTATTGCCTTTGAACAATTATAAACATAATGCATTTCTAATTGTTGTTCCACTAGTATATATATCCCACAGTTACGACATCTCCACAAATGGTTGTAATCATTATATAAATAGTATACAGTATTATCAACTTCTTCAAAAAAATTTCTAAAGTCCATTGTTAATTGTATTGCTTCAAAATAACTAAATAAAAAAAAAATTAACAATTAATGTATTAAAAATGTAATGATTTTTAAATTTTTAATGACCTATTTTTAATTATTATCAATGGTTATAAATTCTAGTATTTATAATTAATCGTATGACGTATCTTTAATGCATATTTAATTAATTTCAAAATATCTGCCTTCCTAACAATAACATAATTTTATGCGTTCCCTATTCACGCTTACAACATTTCTCAAAACTTCTCACATTCGCATCTAAACACCTATGCGTCCCAACAATGAAGAAAGAGAGTGATAATATATCAAAGCATTATTTTGTATTTTTATGTGATGGACGATTGTATTGTATTTTATTTTTATAGCATAAATCGGATTATTATTATTATTATTTTTTTTTTATTGGAATAAAAGGCTTYAACATCCCAGGTCATTAGCCTAAAAGTAATTACAAGTTAATAATATTATGGGGAGACATTTCTATAAAGAGGGATGTAAAATATATTATGTACAATTTTTTTTTTTTTACATTAATTTTGATAAACCTATATTTGTGAAAAAATTATATATCGGATTATTATTATACTATAATATATATATATATATACTTAATTTAATTCATTTACAAATTGTTCTTAATTATGAACTGTTAATGTTTTGCATCAATTATCAACGAAAATTGACCTCACCATTCAATTGTAACTATGAATTTGATACTAAATTTCTAATTATTTTCAAATTGTAAATTCATAAGCTACAAGCATAAATCCTTAACGCTGTTCCTAATATACGTTGGCCTTAATTTTCTTAAAACGCAAATGGATGAAATCGAGTGAAAAGGTACGTAGCATGTTTGCTGTTTAGTCTCGGCGCAAGGATTCAATAGCAATGCGTCACAAAATAAATATATTATCGTCACCCCAACGGCCTACGGGTTATTAAATATAAGTATACTTACTTGTAAATAAAATGATCGGCTTGAGTTTCAAACTTCTTTATGGTGCAGATGTATCAGTTGACGTCGAAACTCAAGTATGGTGTTTGTCCATATAATGGTTTGATGTAACAGAATACAAATTTTTGTGATTATCGATCACCATGAACACAATTCAGGAAAACTACTAGAATGATATAATGTGGTCGGCCAAAGACCCTACAAAAATGACAAATGCAATTCTAGGTTAGGTCTACCATGCTACACGCCTGGGGTTGAGAGGGGTCCAAGAGGGTAAATTTGTAGTATGTCCCAAACAATTGTTGTACGTATTGTCGTCAAGGACAGGTAGTAAATTCCGAACCATAGCCAACCAACTTGTCAACAAATAATATAACATTTTTAGTATGACCAGCGTCCTAGGCTTAACGTGCGTAGAAATCGTAACAATACAAATTTATAAATAAACACAATCGTTTTTTTTTTAGCCTAACCTAGTGAAGCAGGTCAGAAAAAGAGTTTTCCTTACCGACTAACAACCGCCACGGAACTACACGTGTCTTGCCTAAAACGTCCAATAACACGGCAACAATAAAAACATTTTGTACTGTTCTAATTGTTATTCACAGGGATAATGAGCAGCAACGGCTAGGCTGAAAAATGTCAGAGGGTGGTAGACCTGATCAATCAACTGGTGCTGGTCACAATACCCGTAGACGAGGCAGCCACGCCAKCAGACAGCGGTCCAAACGGAAGCGGTGAGGACCCCTCCCTCCCGTGACAACCAGAAAGCCACACGCCCACACCGATATTTGGTACGTTTGGGGCTTCCATCACACCGAAGGTTAGAGCGAAGACGTAGGCTCAGCTGGAGTGGAACCGTAAAAAGTTCTAATAGCTGAGAGAAAAGAGAAAGCCCAGTGAGCGCGAGGTATGCTAACAAGACCAGCTAACCAAGCAACTTACGCCAATCTCTGACCCGAAGGTGACCAGTGAACTACCCTCTCAACCAATGGCAGATATGAAAGTTAACGTACCAGCGATCAAGGACGCTAAGCCCGAGGAGCAGGGATCGTCCACCAACCAGGGACATCTAGACCAACCAGCGAAGATGGATCGCAATCCAAGGACGCCTGGCTACCAGCCTTGGGCCTACCATTCTTCACTCCGGTGGGGTTACAAAATCAGCGATAAAATAGCTCTGGTAAGGCAAGTCTACTTCAAGCTCGGGCAAGAGGTAGCACAAGCCGCACCACACACATTGTGATGGTTTGGTGGGGGAGTATGACACGGTACGCAGCGGAAACTAGTCAAAGTACAGGTAGCGAAGCGACCGGTCTATGACTTTACCACCACCACGGATGACAACGATGGGACACCAACGATTCTTCCTCTACGCCGAAAAGGCTAACATCTTTAACCAGACTGTCGTACCGATAACGTGTCATAWATTTTGTTTATTTGCTTTACTTTTTTATTATTACCTGTGAACACCATTTGTCTGGTTTATTTGACATGTATATGTCTTATGAATGGGGTTAAATTTGTATGACATCGAGGTCGTTACTATTACATCATCGTATTGAGACTGGAAGAGTAAAATATTACTTGACGTTTCTGACAAATTTCACGTTATAGTTTCCAAGACACACAAACAATAACAAAGATGAAATTAATGTTATAAAGTTATTTTACTTGAAGTTATTACTCCTAGGTTACCCCTAGAAACCGATGATAAATAATAATATAATTATGTTACCATAGCAACCTTATTATTAGGACCCGGAACTTAATGATCTAAAAATATATAACAAAAAATATTTGGGTGAATACAAAAAATAGAAAAAAAATTTGGGAAAAAATTTGGAAAAAAATGAATAAAATGACGTAAAAATGTTAAAAAATGTATATTTTACTGTAAAAATTGATAAATAGGTATTGTTTTGATACAAAAATTAAAATATTAAAGTTATTATACTGTATTATTAAAATTATTTTTATTGAACTAAATAAAACTATATATTATATGTGTATTAAAAAATACTAATTTTCGTAAAATTTCTTTTTTTTGCCGAATTTCTTGTTTTTAAACTACTCTGTAACAAAAAAAAAAAAAACATTTTTATTTAATAGAAGTGAACATTTGTACGTAGAGAATAATTTTTTATAGATTTGTTTTACMTACAAATTTGTTACACTGTATAATCAAGGTTTTCTTAACATTTTCAAACAAAAATGAACGGCGATTATCCGACAGCAGTGTTTTATAGATCGAAAAACTTCTCTCTACCTCAACAGATGTGATATGGGCGTATTTAAAATACGTGATATCGATTATGTTCATATCATCTGGTAAACCATTTAGATCATTATCTTAATATTTTTTAAATTGTTTGCACTGTATTGTAACCCGTATTTTATTCGAAAACGGCATTAAATTTAATTTGAATTTTACGCCCAATATTAATGGGAGCTTGTTGAATATTAATTTTTTCAGCTTCTATAATTTTTATAGAATCTGCGAAACTAATTTTAAATGACTTGAGTTTAGCTATTGAACCTGGTGAAGTTCCAAAATTTTATTTTATGTAAATTAAATTTTACTGTAACTTTGAATCGGATAGTAAATCTAGCATGACKTATTCAATTGATACTGCGTTGTTTATATCGAATTTCGTTACAATATTTTTTATGGCATCAAAATGATCAAAATAATAAAACGCTGCATTTATCCATGTTACCCATCTAGTAAGTACTGGTTGTGGCGATAATGGTATAGTAGGCACAAATTCTTTAAAAGTATTTACTCTTGAAAGTGCCTTTAAAAATATTTTTTTCCCATTCAAAATTAGTTGATTTACTTTAGGGAAATATTTCCTAATTTCCTCTGCTACTCTATGTAATGTATGTGCCACACATGTTACATGCAATATTTTAAAATAAAATACTTGAATACATTTACCCGCTTTCACCATGTATGGTACGGCGTCACTTAAAAAAAGCAATACGTTATCATGTTTTATTCTATTCGGCCACATTAACTATTAAGTTGCCCCATTATGTAAAGCTATGCATTGCATGATTCACCGGCAAGCATTAGCATCTAAAAACAAGCCTAAAAGTTTAAAATTAGTTCTTGATAGTGCCGTAAAAATCGTAAATCTAATCAAAGCCAGACCTCTCAATTCAAGACTATTCACAGTATTATGTAATGAAATGGGCAGTACTCATAAATCCCTTCTTCTCCACACAGAGGTAAGGTGGTTTTCACGAGGAAAAGTCCCCACCAGGCTATTCGAGCTAAGGTCAGAAATTTTATTACTTCTGACTGATATTGATGAAGAAAAGTCCAAATTGTTTTGTGATGACGTTTGACTGTCAAGACTAGCTTACATGGCTGACATATTTAATCGTTTAAATATTTTAAATTTAAGGCTGCAAGGATCAAACACAAACATGTTTTATGCTAGTGATAGAGGTAATGCATTTGTGAGAAAGTTGGATTTATTTATTTCTCAAGTATCTAAGAATGATCTTTCAGTATTCGAGACACTAAACACATTTTGGAAAAATAATGAAATTCAGCCAAATTCAAATATAATTACAGTCATTTCGGAACACCTGCAATTACTAAAATCCAATATTTTACAATATTTTCCAGAGGATAACTCAGAAATGAAATGGATCATAAACCCTTTCGAAGATGATTATATTAAAAACATTCCAGAAGGTATTTTGGCAAAAGAATTATTTATTGACTTAACCAGTGACTCTACCCTAAAAACCGCTTTCAAAACCAAAAATATCACTAATTTTTGGCTGGACGTGAAACAAGAATACTCGGCATTGTCCACACAAGCTTTACAGTTTCTAATCCCTTTTGTATCAACATATCTGTGCGAAAATACATTTTCTCACTTATTGTACACAAAAAATAAATATAGAAGTAGATTAAACGTAGAAAATAATTTAAGACTTAAAGTTAGCAATTTGGAGCCCGATATTGACGTCACCGTCCGTTAAAAACAACACCAATCGTCTCATTGAAATAAAAAGTAAACTATAATAATTATAATAATTTTACATATTTAATTTTTTTTWTATTTTTAAGTTTTTTTTCTTTCTGTGCATTTAATACCTACTCAATTAAATACTTTAATTTTTATTATATATTTATATATTTTATATTATCTCATTCCTAATAATGAAAT